ATTATTTAGTTGTAGCTACAGTTAGAGTAAGAGGTAGATGGGAAAAGAGGAAAATGGCAACAACAAGCAAGAGGGAGGTGAAAGTGTATAAACTAAGGGAGGAGGAAGTTCGGGTGAGATATAAGCAACTATTGGCAGAAAGGTGGGCTGGTGCAAGTATGAGTAGTGGGGGGGGGGTTGAAGAGGGTTGGAATAGTTTTAAAAATGCAGTATTAGAATGTGGGGCAGAAGTTTGTAGTTATAGGAGGGTGGGTGCAGGAGGAAAGAGGAGTGATTGGTGGAATGATGAAGTGAAGTGTGTGATATAAGAGGAAAAGGTAGCTTATGAGAGGTTTTTACAGAGCAGAAGCGTTATAAGAAGAGCAGAGTATATGGAGAGTAAAAGAAAGGTTAAGAGAGTGGTGAGAGAGTGCAAAAGGAGAGCGGATGATAGAGTGGGAGAGGAACTGTCAAGAAATTTTAATGAAAATAAGAAAATATTTTGGAGTGAGTTAAACAAGTTAAGAAAGCCTAGGGAACGTATGGATTTGTCAGTTAAAAACAGTGTAGGGGAGTTAGTAGATGGGGAGAGGGAGGTATTAGGTAGATGGCGAGAATATTTTGAGGAACTTTTAAATGTCGACGAAGAAAGGGAGGTGGTAATTTCATGCTCTGGCCAGGGAGGTATACCATCTTTTAGGAGTGAAGAAGAGCAGAATGTGAGTGTGGGGGAGGTGCGTGAGGCATTACGTAGAATGAAAGGGGGTAAAGCAGCTGGAACTGACGGGATCATGACAGAAATGTTAAAAGCAGGGGGAGATATAGTGTTGGAGTGGTTGGTATTTTTGTTTAATAAATGTATGAAAGAGGGGAAGGTACCTAGGGATTGGCGGAGAGCGTGTATAGTCCCTTTATATAAAGGGAAAGGGGACAAAAAAGATTGTAAAAATTATGGAGGAATAAGTTTACTGAGTATACCAAGGAAAAGTGTACAGTAGGGTTATTATTGAAAGAATTAGAGGTAAGACAGAATGTAGAATTGCGGATGAGCAAGGAGGCTTCAGAGTGGGTAGGGGATGTGTAGATCAAGTGTTTACATTGAAGCATATATGTGAACAGTATTTAGATAAAGGTAGGGAAGTTTTGATTGCATTTATGGATTTAGAAAAGGCATATGATAGAGTGGATAGGGAAGCAATGTGGCAGATGTTGCAAGTATATGGAATAGGTGGTAAGTTACTAAATGCTGTAAAGAGTTTTTATGAGGATAGTGAGGCTCAGGTTAGGGTGTGTAGAAGAGAGGGAGACTATTTCTCTGTAAAAGTAGGTCTTAGACAGGGATGTGTAATGTCATCATGGTTGTTTAATATATTTATAGATGGGGTTGTAAAAGAAGTAAATGCTAGGGTGTTTGGGAGAGGGGTGGGATTAAATTATGGGAATTAAATACAAAATGGGAAGTGACACAGTTACTTTTTGCTGATGATACTGTGTTTATGGGAGATTCTAAAGAAAAATTGCAAAGGTTAGTGGACGAATTTGGGAGTGTATGTAAAGGTAGAAAGTTGAAAGTGAACATAGAAAAGAGTAAGGTGATGAGGGTATCAAATGATTTAGATAAAGAAAAATTGGATATCAAATTGGGGAGGAGGAGTATGGAAGAAGTGAATGTTTTCAGATACTTGGGAGTTGACGTGTCGGCGGATGGATTTATGAAGGATGAGGTTAGTCATAGAATTGATGAGGGAAAAAAGGTGAGTGGTGCGTTGAGGTATATGTGGAGGCAAAAAATGTTATCTATGGAGGCAAAGAAGGGAATGTATGAAAGTATAGTAGTACCAACACTCTTATATGGATGTGAAGCTTGGGTGGTAAATGCAGCAGCGAGGAGACGGTTGGAGGCAGTGGAGATGTCCTGTCTAAGGACAATGTGTGGTGTAAATATTATGCAGAAAATTCGGAGTGTGGAAATTAGGAGAAGGTGTGGAGTTAAAAAAAGTATTAGTCAGAGGGCTGAAGAGGGGTTGTTGAGGTGGTTTGGTCATTTAGAGAAAATGGATCAAAGTAGAATGACATGGAGAGCGTAAAGGAAGGGAGGGGGGTAAAGGAGGTGTTGTGGGCGAGGGGTTTGGACTTCCAACAAGCGTGCGTGAGCGTGTTAGATAGGAGTGAATGGAGACAAATGGTATTTGGGACATGACGAGCTGTTGGAGTGTGAGCAGGGTAATATTTAGTGAAGGGATTCAGGGAAACCGGTTATTTTACGTAACCGGACTTGAGTCCTGGAAATGGGAAGTACAATGTCTGCACTCTAAAGGAGGGGTTTGAGATATTGGCAGTTTGGAGGGATATATTTTGTATTTTTGTACGTAAATACTTCTAAACTGTTGTATTCTGGGCACCTCTGCAAAAACAGTGATTATGTGTGAGGTGAAAGTGTTGAATGATGAAAGTTTTTTCCTTTTGGGGATTTTCTTTCTTTTTGGGTCACCCTGCCTCGGTGGGAGACGGCCGACTTATTGAAAAAAAAACTATATATATATATATATATAATATATATATATATATATATATATATATATATATATATATATATATATATATATATATATATATATAATATAATATATATATATATATAAATATATATATATATATATATATATCTAGAATGTAATGAACACTTGTCAGTGCTCAGTAATATCCCACATGGAGACAGAATCTCTGAGGAATAATTGGTTTGTACAGTGTAGTGTGAGACAACAACAGTTCAAATTCTAAATGGTACAAGAGAAAGACACTTGATCAACAGCGGTCATATCCAGTTGTAGTGAATGTCTGCCACTTCTGCCAGGCTTGTTGAAGACGCCATTTTGAAAGAATTTGTGGACTTTCACGTGATTGTTTGCTGGACTGCCAATAAGCATAACAGTGGTACCCTAGCCTGCTATACTCTGAATTGCTAGTTCACTGGTCGGGAGGGCATGCCAAGTGGGCGTGTGATGCATGTCAGATAAAATGTAACGTACCATACCACGGACGGGGATAGAACCCGCGATAAGAGAGTCTCAGAACTCCAGACAGTGGCGTTAGCCACTGGACCAGCTAACCACAATAAGATTCATCCAACTAGGTATATTTCTACACCATAGGAAGGTTAGCATAGGCACCACTGTGACTACAAATGCAAGTTTTTACAGACGAATCTCCAGCTAGCATTGCCGTGACGAACTCTAGCTCAAGTCCCCTCAAAGCCGTATTTTCATAGGGCACCTGCCGTCCCTGTGAAACGCAGCTTCCTCTCCAGTCCCACCGTAGGGTCGGCAGAACACCCGATGATGCCATATTGTCTGTTCCCTCAGGCACACTAGGAGTGGACAAAAGTATAAGAATACAGAAAACAAGTAAAAAATGGGAAATTACTAGAATTTGACAGAAAAGGAGGTAGTACTGCATTCTCTCTGTCAGAAATAGACTGCCACCACCTACTCTTTTAACAAGGGAAGAGATAAAAGTAACTAAAGTCATAGGAGAAAGGAGAGACAAGGAATTTGGGTTAGAGCAGGAAAAACTCAATGAGAAATAACACGGGATAGGAACAAGGAGGTATTGTTCCTGATAAGTACTGGCTCTTAGGGTAGCTTGGCCTGAGAACTGAGCAGGAGGCACCTTATCAGAGGCTTGACTCTCCAGAAGAAAAAATCGTAAGTCAATATATTTTACAATTTAAATTCTGACAAATGGACCGTAAATGCATGGCTCAAAGGGGGAAGTAAAACATTCCCAGATAAAACAACTAACAATTTAATAAATATACCTTTATTATAGGGGAATCTGAATTTTTTTGATACCAACCATAAAGAGAAAGTTATAAGCATCAAATACATAAAATATTAAAATCATCCGCCTATAATAATAGCTTGTTAAAGAACTCTCACTCCAAAGAGTTTCCAAGGAACTCTCTTGCTTTAACATGCTGTATCTCGTTACTTCCCTTTTTTTATCCTGCTCTTATATACATTCCTTCTTCCGGCTGCCACAGAGATTTCCAGATTACAAGGCAGGTCTGATCCTCCAGGACTGTAGTCGTCAATGTCTCCAGTAATTCGCTAGCATCTCCTCCGTGTGCCTGGTTTGGCCAACCAGTAAATTCCTAGCATATTTTCAGTGGTGTCTGGTTGCTGATAAACTTGTTAGCAACAACCTTGTGTTTCCCTCCAAGTTCGTCAGAACAGAACTTCAACCCACACACTAACTCTTCATCAACTTCTCAACAGTAGCCCAACTTATCTCAACAAACCTTATTTCTACTCACAGTAATTATTTTTATGAATAATAATACTAGAAAAATAATGAGACATAAAAAAATAATTTTATTCACTATACTACAGCTAAACAACACTTCTAGCGAAAATATTTTGGAACCCCAAAAAATTAAAACAAAAGCAAGAGAGAATGGTCACACTTCTAATTAATTTCCAGCTATTACAGTAATAGGGATATTTTCAAATCATCTGCAGATGCCACAGTAATAATAATAATAATAATAATAATAATAATAATAATAATAATAATAATAATAATAATATATTTCTCAATTAAATATTTTTATTCTGCATTATATTTCAATCCAACGATGATAGTATATTACATTACCCAGTTAATCTTTTAATTATACTGCATTTGTTTCCTACACTTGAGTTACAGAACAATGCACGTAGTAAACAGGTGAAGATATAGGCAAGAAATGCACAATAAGGAGTCATGAAATCTTCACAACGAATATTTATCACACTTAAACACAGGTAATACTCAGGGACTGATTTGCTTCATTACACCTGCTTACCCAACAGTAAAATAAGTACCTGGATGTTATTGGACTGGTGTGGGTCGCATCCTGGGACAAAACTGACCTAATTTGCGGGAAATGCTCAGCATAACGAAGGGGACTTACTACTATATAGAATGTCACTGATGTCAGCTATGGTCTATATACATTGTACATTATTTCTTCTTCCCAGGGTGACTCTGGCGGACCCATCGTTTACCGTAGCTCTGATGGTCGCTACGTCCTGGCTGGGATAGTGTCTCGTGGGTACGGCTGTGGTATTAAGGAGTATCCCGGCCTATACGTCAACATCCATCATCCGCCTTACCTCGCCTGGATCAAGAAAGTCGCCTTCTAGACGTTTTATCTCAAATCAGACAATAAAATTCTGTACTCATACTTAAAGTTATTTTCCTTTTAAAATTAGAGAATTATCGAATATTTTTAAAAATATTCATTACAATATTCATAAACGTTAGTTTCTCACAAGGTTGTGGAGACGTGATGTTATCATAATGTTTACTATGAAAAGCAACATTCTAACATCAGCTCTGAACTTCATAGAGCTACTAATGACCCTCTTTAACAAACATTCAAGATAAACAGTCAATAAAAAATGGCATACAAGTATTTTTCACAATTTTTACTTGTATTTAGTGTCCCCTGAGCAGCTAGTTTAGTGCACATTCCTGGTATATCGTGCGAGTGGCACCTTGGTAATTATCTTATTTGTGTTTTGTCAAATTCTTTATTGTCATACTGTTTTAAATAACATAAAATGGAATCCGTCAAGTATATGTTATTATTGATGTGATGTTTATTTTGTGGACGGTCTGCGTCTGCGGCCGCCAGTTCCACTTGTGGAGGGACGGGTGTTAGACCAGGGATGATGTTTAGGTAATTACCTATTTCTGTTAACATTTAATACACCCGCTAGCTTGTGTGCAGGTTGTAGGGGGGTATTAGGGTGGTCTGGTAAGCTAGTACTCACCTATTTGTACTCACCTATTTGTACTCGCTTATTTGTGGTTGCAGGGATCGATTCATAGCTCCTGGCCCCGCCTCTTCACTGATTGCTATTAGGTCATCTCTCTCCCTGCTCCATGAGCATTATCAAACCTTGTCATAAAACTATGTATGGTTCCCGCCTCCACTACGTCACTTTCTAGGATATTCCACTTCCTGACACCTCTATGACTGAAGAAATACTTCCTAACATCTCTTTAAATAACAAAAAAGGCACAATACCGTGTCTGGAACGATACACAAATAACCCGCACATAAAAGAGAGAAGCTTACGACGCCGTTTCGGTCCGACTGGACCATTGACAAAGTCATTTATTGTGGTGGTGGAGACAGGGATATATGATTTAATATAGTTTGTCTTTTGGTGTATTATTGTGGTAGGATGACATATTGGGTCAAAAACCTCTTGCCTGTTGTTTACTTGTATATGGATTATAACCATCCTAGGCTGCTTAAAGTGTATAAAGCGACTGTAAGAAGGTCGTACAATTTACATGAAGACAATTTACATGATGACAAACTATATTAAATAATATACCCCTGTCTCCACCACCACAATAGATCCTAAATAATCACATAGCTCAAACTAAAGCATATATGTTTAGGAACATAAACAGTGTCTCTGTTTAAAATAATGTACAACATACAACCGTGAACACTCCTAATTAACAATAACGTCTGTGCGCACAACACATCACATACTAGTGGGGTTCCACAGGGGTCAGTCCTAGGACCTGTGCTGTTTTTGGTATATGTGAATGACATAACGGAAGGGATAGACTCAGAAGTGTCCTTGTTTGCAGATGATATGAAGTTAATGAGGAGAATCAAATCGGTCGAGGATCTGGCAGGACTACAAAGAGACCTGGACAGGCTACAAGCCTGGTCCAACAACTGATTCCTTGAATTTAACCCCGCCAAATGCAAAGTCGTGAAGATTGGGGAAGGGCAAAGAAGACCGCAGACACAGTATAGTCTAGGTGGCCAAAGACTGCGAACCTCACACAAGGAAAATGATCTTGGGGTGAGTATAACACCGAGCACATCTCCTGAGGCGCACATCAATTAGATAACTGCTGCAGCGTACGGGCGTCTGGCAAACCTAAGGATAGCATTCCGATACCTCAGTAAGGAATCGTTCAAGACTCTGTGCACTATTTACGTCAGGCCCATGTTGGAGTATGCAGCACCAGTTTGTAATCCACACCTGGTCAAGCACGTCAAGAAATTAGAGAAAGTGCAAAGGTTTGCAATAAGACTAGTCCCAGAGCTAAGGAAATTGTCCTACGAAGAAAGGTTAAGGGAAATCGACCTGAAGACACTGGAAGACAGGAGGGTCAGGAGAGACATGATAACGATATATAAAATACTGCGCGGAATAGACAAGGTGGACAAAGGCAGGATGTTCCAGAGATGAGACACAGAAACAAGTGGTCACAATTGGAAGTTTAATTCTCAGATGAGTCAAAGGGATGTTAGGAAGTATTTCTTCAGTCATAGAGGTGTCAGGCAGTGGAATAGCCTAGAAAGTGACGTAGTGGAGGCGGGAACCATACATAGTTTTATGACGAGGTTTGATAAAGCTCATGGAGCAGGGAGAGAGAGGACCTAATAGCAATCAGTGAAGAGGCGGGGCCAGGAGCTATGACTCGACCCTTGCAACCAAAAATAGGCGAGTACAAATAGGTGAGTACAAATAGGTGAGTACTAGCTTACCAGACCTCCCTAATACCCCCCTACAACCTGCACACAAGCTAGCGGGTGTATTAAATGTTAACAGAAATAGGTAATTACCTAAACATCATCCCTGGTCTAACACCCGTCCCTCCACAAGTGGAACTGGCGACCGCAGACGCAGACCGTCCACAAAATATACATCACATCAATAATAACATATAATTGACGGATTCCATTTTATGTTATTTAAAGCAGTATGACAATAAAGAATTTGACAAAACACAAATAAGATAATTACCAAGCAAGCATGTGTCCTTATCCTTGGATTAAACTATTCCCGTTTATCGTAAAACTGTCACAGAATGATAGTACAGAATGATAGAAGGTTCCACTGAACCTTCTAACCTAACCACCCAACACCACATTGGTCCATTATATACAATTCACAACTAGACTCCCCTACCTTAACCCCCCCCCCCATCCGCTGGGGAGCCCCGCACACGACTTCGGGTAATGTGTTCCCAAAGTCCCCTAATGCCTTACACAGGAACCATTCGCCGCTTGACCTGCGCAGAGTGCAGACGTGTGACTACTGCCCTCTGCTGGCCATTGGAGGAGACATATTTTCACAACATGGCGCAGTCTGTGAGAAGGCGTTTGCACACGGTGTGCATTGAATTATTGCGTGGTGCAATAACGCCTCAGTCTGCACAAGTGCTTTTACCGCAAATTATCCGTGACACCTATGGTGTTGCGGATCAAGAACTGTATGGTGTGGCACTAAATGGTGCCTATCGTATTTTCGTCAAGCTGAGTTCAGCTGGAGTGTATGAACGGCTGGTTGACAAGTACCAGGACAGGAGCGTGGATGTTAATTCAGCGATACGTGTTCGCCTCATCGACGTGTCTAAGCATTACACATGGGTGAAAATCCGAAATGTGCCATTTGAGGCGGACGAGAATGATCTGCGGTATGTATTTGAACAGTATGGACCTGTACACCTGGCTATGGCTGGTAAATGGACGGATGGGGCGTATGCCGGTTTGCCGGATGGTACGTTCACGATCAAGATGGAGTTGAGGCATGCCATCCCGTCTTACGTTATACTGGACGCATTTAGGACACAGGTAATGGTGTACTACGCTGGGCAGCAGAAGACGTGTAGGTTATGTGGTGCATATGACCATATGGCGGCCCAGTGTGGGAGATGGCAGCGGAGAAAGGACCTAGGTAGTGAGATGGTGAAAGAGCCAGAACCAGAGGTGGGTCCATGCTGATGAGCACCTGTACATAGAAGTGGCACTTCCTGGAGTGAGGAAGTGGAGCGTGAGCTGCCACTGGTGGGTACCAGCCCATCACTGTCACAGTTGGTGGGAAGTGAGGCATCTGCCATGGAGAACGGGAAGACTGTGCAGATTGGTGACGTGCGGGTAGAGGAAGGCCTACTGGTGAACGTGCAGGAAAAATCCTTTGAGAAGCAGGTTGCTGAGGATAACTTGAGTATGGTGAGGAGTAATGTTCAGATTGAAGATGAGCAACTTGGAAGATTGGCGAACATGGCAGATGACTCGCCAGGAGTGGTGGAAGTGATTGAGGTGACTGCTGAGATTCACAGGGAGGCATCCAGTGAGTTGGAAATGGATGCAGAGTGTGTCAACCGTAAGAGGGCGGCGACATATTATGACTCTGATGATGTTTTGACCCCGGCACAGAGACCGGGGAAAAAGCCATGGGTTGATGTGGTGCGTGAGAGCACTAAAGGTACGCCTGGTCAGGTGTTGGATAAGGGAAGCCACCAGTGGGCAGTGGAGAGAAAAGTGGACGAAGCAGACACACTGAAAGCGTGTCAGTGAAAGGTGAAAAGGGGCAGAGGGTGAAATCACATAAGTAGGTTCCGGTGCATGACAGTGAATATTAATGGATTGTGTGCGAGTGAGAAGCGTCTGTGGGTAAAGGGATTTTTAAGACGTTATGCTATAGACATTGTTTTTGTGCAGGAACATAATTTCAAGCTGGGAAAGGAATTGGAGGTGGATGGGTACAGAGTGTTTGTGATGTATTCGGAGCGAATGAAGGGAGGGGTGGGAATCCTGATCCGAGAGACGAGCCCGTTTGTTGTTCTTAGGAAGTGAAGGGGGGGGGGGGTCGTGTGTTTAAGAATAGATGGGTGGTGGAGAGGTGAGCGGATGGCAGTCATTTGTGTGTATGTGCCGGCTGAGAATGATGTAAGGGTAAAGAATGAATTTGTGAATAACGTATTGGTATATTATTTGCGGTCATTACCGTCAGTGACAATAGTTGGTGGCGACTGGAACTGTGTGGTGCGCAGGAAGGATGTGGAACCGAGAGGGGCAGGGTGTTTTTTTTGGCAGGTTTAGGGATCTATTGAGAGGTGTGGGATTGAGGGATATAGTTGATGGAGGGGATTGCGAGATAGAGCACACTTTTCATAGAAAGGGATATGCTGCACGATTAGATAGGTTGTATGTGACAAGGGGAGTGAGGGTGACGCGGGTGCAGACGGTGAATGTCGTTTATTCAGATCATAGGCGGTTTTGCTGATTTAATTTGGGACGGTTTGCCTAAGAGATATTTGGGGTACTGGAAGCTGAATGTACGACTACTGGGTGAGGGGGTGGAGGGAGGGGATTTTGAAAGTTTGTGGAGGACTTATGGGGTGG